GTTGCCCTTTTCTGCACTTTTTCCAAAGCGATAATATCCTTTTTAAGGTGTGGTGACCAGAATTGCACACAGTATTCCAGATGAGGTCGCACCATTGTAGAGGGAGGTGCTGTCGTTTCCAAGAATCAGGGTATGCAGTTTATGCGTTCTGCCCAGAAAGAAATACCCTCCTCCCAAGTAATTCTTTCCAGCGGGGGCCATTGAGGCCTACACCAGGCACGGAGAGCCGGGCTGTTCTGTCCACATCTTCATCTGCATAGTAGTTCCATCTTGGGTTCTGGGTCTTCATACACTAGGCCAGAGGTGTCAAACTCATTGTTTATGAGGGCCGGATCTGACATAAATGCCACTTTGCCAGGCCGGGCCATGTGTGTCATAAAACGTAATGCCAGGTACCAGAGATAGAAACTGTATAAAGGACAGCAGCTTATAGTAATCCTCTTCTAAGGTATTGTTTTATGCCAATAAAGGCTAACTGACTGACTGACAGCAGCTGGTAATAGGGTTGCCAAGTCCTCGCTGTATGTAGAGCGGGGGACTCCAGCGCCGCTCCGCGAGTCCGTGCGCGTGCGCCGCATACACGTCACCCGGAAGTGACGCAACCACGTCGGGCATGCCAGGGGCGGGGCCACAATCATCCGAGGGAAAACCATAGAGTTTTCCCTCGGATGACCGCGGCCCCGCCCCAAATGTGCCCGACGCGACTGCGTCACTTCCGGGTGACGTGCTGACGTTGGGCATGTCGCGTGCTTTGGGGGTGGGGTTCCCCCTGGGGCCCAATCTACCGCCGGCGGGTAACGGGCCTCTCGGGCAGGGGTTTCCCCACCCCCCGGGGGGACTTGGCAAGCCTAGCTGGTAAGCTCCGAGTTGGTGTATCCTCACTGCAAGGTCTCATGGGCTTGGAGAGGGGTGCAGAGGAAAACCCACCTAGGCAGACTGGAGATCCAGCAGTGCAGCACTGGGCAGATGCTCCCACGATGTTTGACTGCTGTAGACAAGGTTGTTCTGCCATGCTGAAGCCACAGTAGAGTGGCTCTGCCCACTCCCCCCAGCACTTCCTCCCTTGCATCGGTTGCTCGCGGGCCGCATAAGAGCCCTGGACGGGCCTGATCTGACCCCCGGGCCTTATGTCTGACACCCCTGCACTAGGCTATGAGGAAACTGAGGGAGAGGAAGAGCTCACCAAGGAGCTCAGAGCAAATATCACACGTTTTTATTGAAAAATATGTACACTTGCTTTTAACATTAAATGAGACTGCCAAAAAATAAAAACAAAAGGGGTAAAAACAGATATTGATAATCAGGGCTCTTTTTGTAGAAAAAGCCCAGCAGGAACTCATTAGCATAATGGGCCACACCCAACAGCAAGAATCCATTAGCATATTAGGCCACACCCCTGACAGCGCAGCTCATTAGCACATTAGGCCACACCACCATGTTACAAGAAGTGTGGTCATCCAGCCACACCCACCCTTTGCTTCTTATTCCGTTTACCTTGTTGTCAAAACCCAGAGCTTTTTTTGTACCCCTACTGTAGCCAATCCTAATGAGTTTCTGCTGTTGGGTGTGGCCTATTATGCTAATGAGTTCCTGCTGGGCGTGGCCAACTCGGGAGCCAGCCGGAACTCCGTTCCTGTGCGTTCCTGCCCAAAAATAGCCCTGTTGATAATGATATTTATTTGTCCGATGTAGGCGGGGGGGAGGCTTTGGGAACACATTTAAAGATTTCTTTCTTTCTCTGCTCCCCCCCTGCCTCAAGCCTACCCAGGGAGGGGAACACTGGCTGGGGAAGGGAAGACCGATTGGGGAGGCGTGCCCTCCCCTTTGCTTCTCCAGCTGCCCTGCCGGGAGCGGCACAATATGTGTGAAAGTACCCCATGTGGCACCCGAGCCACACTTTGGCCAGCCCTGCACTATATGAACTAGAGCTGTCATTTGCCTGATTCTGGTGGGGCATTCGCTACTGGTATACTCCATCCCCCTCAAATGCTCAGTGGGGCGGTGGGGGGGGGGAATGGGGAAACACTGTTTTTACCGTAGAAATCAGGAAGATTCCTAAAGCTCTGTGGTGACCTCACTTCCAGGTTTTTTTGGGAAGAAATGACATTGTGGCATTACGTGACACTGTTCCAGTATATCTCTGCGCCGCCAGTCCTCCTGCTAGTTGCCGGCAGCCTTAGTATGAAGTATGTTAGACTGATGGGAGATGGCTTTCTCCTGGCAAACCCAGTGGTCTTGGCTGAAGGCTGTTCCATTTGTGGCAATAAAGTGATGGAGTCAGCCATCTTTTTAAACACAATCTTGACTAATTCTCCTCCATACTGTAATCCCCGACCCACATGACTTTTGAACTTGCAGCTTCCATGATTCTCAGCAGATCTTTCTTGGGTGCTTGGGAAAGATGCTCCCCTTTTCACCAGCAGAAAACCTGGCTGGATCCAACCCAATGTTTGCTGCTGCCATATTAAGCCAGTGTTTGCTTTGGTAAAGTTAGAGCAAACAGGCGGAGGTTAGACCCTGAGGCTTTGGGGAGGGGATATCAAAAAGAACTGATTCACACCACATTTCATGCCATTTCCTTCAGTAGGGTTGCCATCCCCCCAATGGGGGCGGGGGTTCCCCTGATGTCGGGGGCCCAAATCCACCACTGGCCAATTGGCCAGTGGGGGAGCCCCACCCCCGAAGAGCCTGGCCACGCCTGATGTGCCCAGCACGATGATTTCACTTGGAGGTGACGTCATCACACCGGGCATGTTGCAGGGGGACACTCTAGCATTTAGCTAAAAACTCTATGGTGACCATAGAGTTTTTGGCCAACTGCTAGAGCGTTCCCCCTCCTGTGACATGCCTAGCACGACGATGCCCCTTCTGGGTGACATAATTGGGTGCACGTGTGCGAGAAGATCCAGGAGAGCGGGCTGGAGCCCCCCACCGGCAAAAGGTATGGACCTGGCAACCCTATACCTTCAGTATCACCATCACTTGAAAAATAGTAGGAAAATAGTTTATATCCAGCATTGATAAGGAGCTTCATTGTGATGCTTTCAGCTTGTCAGTAGGTTTCAGTTTTTGTGGTTTCAGTGCAGAAAGAAAGGAATGTAGCTGCCTTCTTTGAAATCAGAATACCTGGAGGGTAAGTCGCCCCCCCTCCCACAGAACTCTGAAAAGCATTTCTGTGCTAGATTGAATACGGCAGTTGCAAGGGTGGATGCGCCCATTATGGATCAGAATGAATGGACAGATACAGCCATGGTGGTCTTTTGGATGAAATTGAACTTGAGCGATGCAACTTCAGATCTTTTCCACACACACCCCTCGGTCCAGTGACTCCTCTGTGTGATTTACCTATCGAGAATTAAGTGCATTTCTGTCACTTGGTTCCCACTGAAAGCATGTTCAGTTTTAGGTGCAAATGTGTTTTCTGAGCTGCAAATTTGTTTTCCTGGCCTTGAAAACGTCTGCCTTCCCTAGGCCATTTTTAATGAGAAATCCCATCAGCACATTCATCTCGGAATGAAAATGAGAAAAAAGCCATCATTCTGTCGATTCTTGCTGGCTTGTCTAATTCTGGGGTCGCCACAAACTGTTAGCCTTTCTTCTGCGCTGGGAAAATCCTCACCAGAATATTCTAAAGCCTGAGCAAGTGAATGTTTATAAAGCCCTTTTGAATCGTAAAAATTACCTTGACCTCAGTAACGGTTTTAATAAAAACAGCCACAGACACAACTGGCTAAATGACTGGAACAGTGCTTTGTTCAGAGTTTTGTTCTTCTGAATTGTAGATGGGAGGAAAGGTTTTGCGTACTGTTTTTGATTATTAACATATTCCTTTGTTGGGAATTGGTATTATATTACCGGTGAAGACTGCCATGATGAACCAAATGTGGCAAAGGTGGTTTCAAAGTGCCTTTGTTGATTAAGACAAAGCACACACATTGTGTGTGTGGGGGGGGGGTGAAGCAAGTTTTCTGCAGTGAGGGGCAGCAAATTTGAGCCTCATTTACCCCCCCAAGGGCTTAACAGAGATACCGGGTTCTTATCTCACTGCATATACTAAATCACTCCGTTCTTGTTTATACCCAGAAGTAAACCTTGTTGGTCTTAAAGGTGCCACTGGACTCCAACTTAGTTCTCACATCTGTTTGTTAACTCTTTTATTATCTGTATGCTGATTTGCTGCTATTCACAGGTCCTACCAACTGCTTTAATGCAATCTTAGCTATACTTGCTGCTCAGTTACTTCTGCATCTTGACCCTCCTGGCAACTAACACCCCCCTACTCCTATACGTAATGGTTGGTTTCAGTGTATCTGAAGAAGTCTGTATGCACACAAAATCTTATACCCAGAATTTAACTTCATGGGTTTTAAAGGTGCCACTGGACTCAAGCTTTGTTCTGTTGCTTCAGACCAACATGGCTACCCACCTGAATCTTACTTTTGCTGTGTAACTGTAATGACTTTACTCAAGACAGGATGTAGGGCTGCTAGCCAGCATCTGGCAATTGGCCAGAAGCTGGGGGGGGCGGCATGGAGGGTGCCACCGACACAATAGTTTTATGTCACTTACAGGGAAAACCATAGAGTTTTTGGTGGTTCCTAGAGTGCTGTCTTGGCACTTACAGGTTTTCCTGCTGGCTACTGGAGCAGTGGTGGGCAACAGGACCTGGGGGCAGGAGATGTCCCACTCCCAGGAAGTAACTAGCAACCCTATGAAAAGTAGAAGTTACAGCTCAGGTGGTACAAGTTACAGGAAAGTCCATAGCATGGTTATATTGAGTTGGATCCTACCAGCCTTTCTGCTGGTAAAAAAAGATGTATTATCCTCCTTGACCATCCATAAAGGCTATGCTCAAGGGGCTTGCGTGTAGAAGAGTCATGTGGGATGGGAGCTTTAGTATAGAAGGGAATTGGGTCAGATTGAGTGGGGGAAAGCTGGCTAGAGCCAACTCATGCTTTGTTTCTGCTTTAACAAATTCTGTTGGGTTTTTTTCCCCTTAGAGCTTGGGACGATTGATGAAGAGATCCGTAAATACAACACACCAGGATTCTCTGGCTGCCTGTCTCGAGTACAGTTCAACCAGCTCGCCCCACTCAAAGCGGCCTTGAGACCAACCAACATCTCCACTCGCGTCCACACGGAAGGTCATCTTGTAGAATCCAACTGTGGGGCCAATCCACTAACCATCCAACCAATGTCTTCTGTGACAGATCCTTGGCATGCCGATTCAGGTAAGGTCAGAACTGATTTCACAGGCGACTTGCGTTGAGTACATATCAGTCAAAGTATATGACTATAACAGTTGCTTTATTGCATCAAACAAAGATCTATCTATCTTTGGAAGCTCACAAGTGGAACGTGAAGGTAGAGTTGCTAATCCCCAGTTGAGGGCAGGGATTCCCCTGGTTTGGAGCTCCTCCCCAAACTTCAGGGCTGTCAGAAAGCAGGGGGAGATAGCCACTGGGCACTCCATTATACTCTATGGATACCGGTCCCCATATGGTGTAATGGAGAATCAATCCATGGGTATCTGGGGCTCGAGGGGGGGCTGTTTTTTGAGGTAGAGGCATCAAATTTTCAGCATAGCTGGCGGTGCCTCTCCTGGGGGGGGGACAAGTTTCAAAAAGATTGGACCAGGAGGTCCAACTCAATGAGCCCCAAAAGAAGGTGCCCCATCTGCCATTATTTCCAATGTAGGGAAAGCTTTAAAAGGCATGCTTTTAAAAGAAATGCTTAAATGTGACGGGCAGAACTCCCTTCCGGCTTGTTGGCCTCGCCAGATAACCCTAGTGACATCACAAAAGTCACATCCTTGTTCCTGGCTCCACCCCAAAGTACCCATATATTTCCTGAGTCAGACCTAGCAACCCTGCCAGCCGGCATCTGGCATTCCAGATTCTACTACCTCTGTACATCGAGCATTCAGTGCTAATGTTCATTAACAGTCTTATCTTCCATCAATGCCTAATCCTTTTTGTGTCCTTAAAATCTAAATTATGGGCCCCTATAATTTTGTTGTGTATAATCAGTGCCATTCTAAATAACAGGTGCAAGGGATTGGTGATTTAGACAAACAAATTGCTCACTGCAGCATTCTCTTCCTCTGTTAATTGCTAAATGAATATTTGCTGTTGTTTGGATGCAGCTGGGAAACAATATCTAATTTTAGGAGCAAATTTGTGGGGGGGGGGGTTTTGAGCGTCACGTTTGTTTGCCGCTCTTGAAGCATCTGCATCCCGGAGGCCATGACAAAGGAGCCATCAGATATATATTTTTTACAAACGTTTCCTCTTGTTCCATCTGGCTTATTCAGTTCAGTGATTTACCGCATCTGTAAGACGCGCATCGGATTTTACAATTAAGGACTTTGATTTCGTTTTAGGGCTCTGAGAAACGTTCGACTTCATTAAAATAATAATTGGTCTCTGCTGACTTAGGCAGTTCACTCCCCGATCTCAGTCTGCTCTGCACCTTGAGATCATATTATGTTCAAGGAGATGGTTGCTAACTTTTGGGAAATCAGTCCTGAATCGTAGGATGATTTTCCCCCCCCAGGCCTGTAGCTACAGTGGGACATCTCGGGGATGGGCCCCCTGGGAGCCAGTTTGGTGTAGTGGTTGAGTGTGCGGACTCTAATCTGGGAGAACTGGGTTTGATTCCCCACTCCTCCACTTGCAGCTGGCTGGATGACCTCGGGCAAGCCGTAGTTCTGATAAGAAAAGAGCAGTTCCTGTCAAGAGCTCTCTCAGCCCCACCCACCTCACAGGGTGTCTGTTGTTGGGAGGAGAAGGGAAAGGAGTTTGTAAGCTGCTCTGAGACACCTTTGGGTAGTGAAGGGCGGGGTATAAATCCAATCTCTTCTTCTACTTCTTTTTCCAGCCCCAGCGTCCCGAATTCCCATCCAACCAGTTTATTTTATTTTATTTTTCGTGCGCACCGTGGCTGCACAGAGCTGTCACCCTACCCTGCCTGCCGGCACCCTCACCTCTCACTCTCTTGTCACTTAAAAAAAAAACTTTTACTCTCTCATTGCTCCTGACACAGCCTGTGGGGGGAGTGTCCCCCAAATTATTTAAATGCCCCCCAAAGTCAAACATCCTGGCCACAGCCCTGTCTTTTCCCCAATTCTTGCCATCACTTCCCACTCTTTTTAAAAAATATATCCATGAACTACTTTAAAACAACAGCCGATCAATCGATTGACTGACGTTGATCGATCATTCGATGTTTTAAAACATCCGTGATCTGCAGAATTCCGTACAAGATCTTTTGCAACTTTTACCATGGCAAATGGAAATCTAGAAAGCCTCTGATAAATCCCCTGAAATCACTGCATCTGTAGCTGAGTTCCTCTCTCTTGTATGGAAGCGAAGGGCAAGAGTTTTTAACATTTAGTTTTTAATGTATAGTTTTATATTGGGATATGTCATTCTGAACTGATTGCTTGTGACCTTTTTTACCTCTATCACTGTGGTATAAAGCCCCCAGTTTTATCTTGTTTTTATCTTTTTGTAACACCATGCTATGCCAATAAAGGATGATGATGATGATGATGATGATGATGATGATGATGATGATGATGATGAAGAAGAAGAAGAAGAAGAAGAAGAAGAAGAAGAAGAAGAAGAAGAAGAAGAAGAAGAAGAAGAAGAAGAAGAAGAAGAAGAAGAAGAAGAAGAAAGCCTTCATATTACTAAGGATTCAAAATAGCTGTTTAAAGTTTTTAAACTACAGCCGGTTTTTATATTTATGTGTGGGCAGGGGTCACACCCGCTGACATCACTGGAAGTGCATATGCCACACCCCCTGACATCACCGGAAGTGTCAGAAGGCAACACCCACCGCTCAGGCTCCACTGGACTGTTCTGGATTGCTAGCTATTGCGGGGGGGAAACGTGCAGATCTGTTCTCACAGAGGAGGGAGAGCTTGTACCTGAAGGCAGGCGGGGGGGGGGGCTCTGCAACTTACCTGGCTGCTTCTTGCTCCTCGTGGCCTGACTGAAGGCTGCTGGGAGCAGGGGGTGGGGTTTGTTGCATGTGCCCGCCCCCTGGGCTCCTTACTGCCGGAGCTCTGCTCCTGTGTGCTCCCGCAGGAAATTACCCCGTGTGTGTGGGTGTTATATATTCCTGTACGTTAACATGTTCACGGCTTGTGGTCTTTTGGATATTGAGTGTTACCAGAGGACCTACGGGGAAGCTGACTTGGGAGCCGTTTTGGTGTAATGGTTAAGTGCGCGGACTCTAATCTGGGAGAACCGGGTTTGATTCCTCACTCCTCCACTTTGCAGCTGCTGGATGACCTTGGGCAAGCCGTAGTTATGGCACAGCTGTTCTTGAAAAAAAGAGCAGTTTCTGTCAGAGCTCTCTCAGCCCCACCCACCTCACAGGGTTCCTGTTGTGGGGAGGGGAAGGGAAAGGAGTTTGTAAGCCGCTCTGAGACACCTTTGGGTAGTGAAGGGCGGGGTATAAATCCAATCTCTTCCTCCTCTTCTTCTTCTTCTCATTAGGTCAGGGGCTGTGATGTCAGAGAGCCAGTGCAGGCTCTGACCAGACAGTTGACTGTCAAGAGAAAGTATAAGTCTGAGATCCATGAGTAACAGCTGCATATAACTTGCATTTTTCATATGTGCATCTGTGTGTGTGCAACTCTGGAAGTCATGGTATCCTCTGGAGACTGACCCCTACTGGGGACCTGGACGATATTCAGAGAAGTGAATGAATGAATGAATGAAGCCTGCCCCCACCTCCCGTCTCTGGTATTCCAAGGAGGTCTCCCATCCAAGTACTTGCCAGAGTCAACCCTGCTTAGCTTCCGAGATCTGACGAGATCGGGCTTGCCTGGGCTATCCAGGCCAGGGCCCAGTTACATATAACTGAATTAGTATTGGCTATGCACTCTGGGCAGTCTCGGACCCCGGCAGTGCAAACAATTAACCAGGTTCCAGTTGCCCCAAATGTCCATCTACTTGCAGGCCGACAATAATGAATTAATTTTATTGTTACGGCGCTTAGCCAGCAATGGGCCGACAATAATATATTAACTCATACGCATCCAACATCCAGATCTGGATGGCCCAGGATAGCCCGATCTTGTCAGCTCTCAGAAGCTAAGCAAGGTTGGCCATGGTTACTACTTGGATGGCAGACCACCAAGGAAGGATGGGAGACCACCAAGGAAGTCCAGGGTGACTGTGCAGTGGCAGGCAACGGCAACCCACTTCTGTTCATCTATTGCCTTTGAACCCCTTGTCTTAAAAACCCTTTGAGGGGGTCTCCATAAGTCCCCTGCAACTTGATGGCACTTTCCATCACCCCCATCCATCCGACAAATAGGTTTTATGTGCTACATTTGGCAGGAAACACCCTACATGTTTACTCCATGTATGTTAGTGCAAATTTTGCGGTGGAATGGGTTATCATGGGTTCAGCCCATTGATGACTTCTTTCCCCCCCTCAAAATGCATTTCATTGCAGTTTCACCATCATATCCAGAGTACAGATTAGGGCTGCCAAGTGGGGGCGGGTAAAACCCCGCTTTGGAGGCCTAATTTCCTCCGCCACGGAATCGGGCCCCGGGGGGAACCCCACCCCAGCGTGCGCGTCACCAGGAAGTGACGTTATGACGCCGGGCACGCTGGGGGCAGGGCCACGACCAATCCGAGGGAAACCTCTGTGGTTTCCCCTCGAATGGTCGTGGCCCCGCCCCCAGCGTGCCCTGCATCATAACGTCACTTCCTGATGACGTGCGTGCTTTGCGCGCGTGCACGCAGTCCGGGATCTACCCGGGAGTCCCCCGCTGCGGAGGTAAGCTATACTTGGCAACCCTAGTACAGATATACTGTTCAATATGATCATAACTCAAATATAAAGCACAATAAAATTCAAATATTAGCTAGTATAAATTATTGTAAAGTTGAAAACATCATAAGGAAATTTACCTGTAGCTTATATAGAAATTAATAGTGATTAACCAAGATATTCCATGCCATTAAACAACATTTTGTTGTTGTTCAGTTGCACAGTCGAGTCCGACTCTTCGCGAACAACATAAGTAGCGGTAAAAAACTTTTACCGTGAGGAAAGATCATTAATTATATTAGGGATGGTTTCTTGTGAAATGAGATATTCTAGAATAGGAAACCAGACAACCAAGGAAGTAGAAGAGAGGACGTTTGCGTTTGTTAATATTGTTAGAGAGTTGGCCATTATGTAGGTACTCGATAGCATTTATAACTTTTTAAACAAATTGTTCATATTTTGGGAGTTTGGCTTCTGATAAGCAGAAAATATTTTATGGAGTATTTGCTTTTCCCTCCCTCTCTGTCTTTTTTTATTTTTATTATTATTATTTTATTTTTATTAATAACACAAAGAAAAACTCATACAAACATCAGTCATCATACCAAAGTTATAAACTGTAAACAGTTTGCTGATACAATTGTTAACTACATAACGTTGACAACAACGTTGACAGCATTTAAAAAAAAAAATTAAACCCCAGAACATTAGAACACTAGAAAGCTAAAACACTGGAACCCTATGAAAGTCCAACCATACTACCATTATAAACATATCTATATATCTAATAGCCAAGTTGCCCCCTCCGTGCGGATATCTAAATCCGCACATCAGGGGCACTTGGGGGGCAGAGAGATTTCCCTGCACACTTGGAGCAGTCCCCAGGTGTGTAAAAAAATCTAAAAACTTGAAAAAAAATATGGGGGATATTTAAATCCCCAAAACGTAAACGCGTTCCCTGCGCATGTGCAGAGAATGCTTTGACCGTTGGGGGCTGCTCAGGCCTCACCACCGGTGCGGGGGAGGGAGCGGGCTTGGCGGGCCCAGCGGCTGGGAGCCACTCAGCGCTCACTGCCAGTGCCCGGGGGGGGAGCAGGAGAAGGCTTGGCAGGCCCGTGCAGCTCGCTGCTGGTGTGGGGGAGAAGGGTTGGTGGGCCCAGCAGCTGGGAGCCACGCGGGCCTCACCATTGGTGCAAGGGGGTGGGGGAGAAGGCTCACCTGCGGCTACTTCCTCTTTCTCCTTCATGTGGAGCTCCTTCTCCCCCCCACGAGTATCGCGGGTCCCCGCTTCTTGTTAAACCTTATTATACAGCAACTCTCTTTAGAGTTTTCAGCTAAACAATAGGAAGAACTTCCTGACAGTTAGAGCAGTTCCTCAGTGGAACAGGCTTCCTCGGGAAGTGGTGGGCTCTCCTTCTTTGGAGGTTTTCAAACAGAGGCTGTGGATTTAGGCAGATCATGAGAGGGAGGGCAGGAAGGGTTGCCTCAGGGCTTAGTTCTTGTGGCCCTTTCTTACACGCCCAGGGAAATGCTGATTGCCACTTTGGGGTCAGGAAGCAATCCTGGAGGTTCTTTGTCATCTTCTTGGCGTGGAACAGTGGTCACTGTGGGTGTGGAGGGGCAGGTATTTGTGAATTTCCTGCCTTGTGCAGGGGGTTGGACTAGATGACCCTGGAGGTCTCTTCCAACTCTATGATTCTATGATTCTTTCTCTCCCTCTTTTTCCCTTTCTTTCTGTAACAGCAGAATCCTGCTATTCAGTTTTATAGTATATCTGCATTCCTCTGTGATGACAATAACCACGT